CTATGGGCATAATTCCAGGATAGCATTGTATGACATGCTGTAAACTATAATAGTTGAAGAAATGTGCCTCTATCTTCTCTTTACAAGTGATTGTTTTGGAAAATACATGTTAAACTCCCCTCTAAAAGAAATGAAAGATGTAATTTGTTCCATAAGCTACATGACTCAGCAGCGCTGTCATTACTTAAAAATGCTATTTCTCCACCAACTTTAACCTCTTAATGACAGCAAGTGATTTTCTAAATAACTCAGCAAAAAATATAAAGAAGACTACTACTGTTTTTTGTAGGGGCTTGGTGGGAGAATAAATTAATCAGAATGTAAGCACACACTTTATTCATTTATATTAGAATTCTTTCTGCAAATAAATGTGCACTAAAGTAACCTATTTCCAAAACTATGTTTGAATCAATGAAATATGGGGGTCCAGCCTTATTATTGGGCAGAATGAAGCAGATGCTCTAGGCTTCACCAAAGGGCAGCAAATTACTAATTATTTCATTTATTATCATTGCATTTTCCTGCCAGAGAGGGGAGAGGCGTGTGTGAGATTTTCTGCCTTAGGTGCCTTGGCCAATCTTGGGTACTAAGTACCTTGATTTGGGAAAAGGAGTAGTCACTACTCTGCCTTAGGTGGAGCTGGCCCTGAGGGATGGAGTTGCTTTCTTAGACACAACACATTCCTGCTGGTTTGATGTTCATACTTCTAATCACTTGCTTTTGGATTCTGTAAAAGAGGTTTATATCAATCTTGGGATTTGTTCAGTCAAAACTCAACCCACTAGCATGAGAGTCCTTAGGCAATACATCCTTAACCCTCAGCCCCAGTGACAAGTCTACCTTCTCATCACTAATGTCACCAAATGCTTTTGCTCCTCGTCCATTTTTATCATTGCTCCTCATTTTTCATCACTGTTACCACTTACTTGTTTACAGGCAGTCAGAAAGTAGGTAGTGGCATATATTCCTCTCCCTCAGCACCTCCACTGTCTGGGCAAGGGCAAGCAAGTGACAAGTGAAGAAACGGGTTTCAATGGTGACGATGAGGAACTCTGGGTGGCTCTCTTTTGGGGTGTGGACCTTCAACACACACATCAAACCATGGCTACTTTTGAAGCTGGCCCTGCAACTCACCTGGGACTCCAGTAGCTGCTGTAAGGGAATCCAAAAGCAGGGGAATTGTCAAGGTCCAGGCAAGCCACAATACATGACTGATGGGCTGCACTCAGCTAAAAGTTGTGCCAACTTTCTATAACGAGATATCATCTTTAAAAGATCTATGTGCATTCATTTTGAATCCAGATTTTACATGGCACCAATGAGAATGTTCCAAGAAGAATTCAGAGCACTCATCTCCAAACACCACTGCTGACTTATGTGCTGCTGCTCACATTCTGGACAGTGGAGGCCTCTCTTTCGCCTGGACTTATTATAAATGAGTTTAAGATTCCTTTCTGCATGTTGTGGGATTTGTCTGTACAATTTGCATGAAAGAAAATGTGAATCTCATTAATCTCTTCATCTTTTAGAGAGAAGTCAAGACTGCTCTCTTCTTTGTAGCTCACAGGTTTTTGTTAACTATCCTAGTAACTCGGTTTTCATTAATAAATAATCCAAGAAGTTTATCTAAGCCTTCATGCTTGTAGAAATGATAAACAAATTCAAATAACATTCCCAGTGGGCTTGTTTGAAAAATCATCAGGGCTTAAACAATCCATAGCTGCTTGTTAAGCTGCATCACATGCTGAGTATAATTTGCCTCATCACTTGCATAGGCATGGCTTGCTCTGTTTTCTGCACCCAGACAGCATGAGTTGTTGAGGGGGAAAGTGTCAGCTATGCAGTATATATTTTGGACCTTTCCCTTTAATTTTTGGCCTTGCCCCTTCTGCATTCAGCTCTTCCCACCACCCAAATGTAGCATTTCAGGTATTCTCCAAAATGAAATTCACTCCTCAGACTGAAACTTTGCTGTAAGTGGCCCTCGGTGTGCATATTGGTATGATGAGAAATCTTCTCTCACTCAATTATAATTCACCATAATGTAACTATTCTACAAAGTTTTGAGCATTTCCCCTCAAAATGTTATGAATGACCACAGAATCCAACCAAGATATCATGGTGCCTATGTGTTGGTGATACAATTATGAGTTTAGGCCAGTAACTTTGAGACCAATCTTAAGTGCTTCTTTTAGTATTTGGTATTTTAAAAATAACAAAGATGGAATATGGAACGTTGTATATTTTCTTTGCTGTCAATTGCCTGAGTCTCTATGCTGCAATGATTTTCAGATTGCTTTTGTTCATCTTTTACCCTAGTTAATTAGTCTGTTCCTTCAGCTGAAAGGCCATGGCTGTTTTGAAAAATTGCGGGACTGATTGCTGTTCTTTAGTTTCTTTTAGTTCCTTTTTCTTTAACGTCCTTATGCTTCTTAATTTGTATTTCTAGCCAGACATGTCAATAAGTTGTGTTTCTGAACTAGACATATACACAGATACATTTTGGGCTGATAAATCCAACCAGTAGTACTGGCTCTGGGATCAATAGGCAGGGCTATAAATCTACTGTCTAGGTCCTTGTTAAGAATTTATCTTTCTGCATTTGCGCGCGCACACACACACACACACACCAATGCTCTGGCTGACTCATTAGTGCCAATGATGGTATGGGACTGAAAAATTCCAAACTAACTAGAATTGTCAGAAGTCATGAAAATGGCACCAAAGGAGGCTAGATAACATTCATAAAGGGCTCTGGCATAAACATCTGCTGAGATGAGAGCATGATTGAATTCATACCACCTTTTTGTGAAGGAAATGGATGATTATTCATTTTCTCATCTTTATGGGCTTTTCTGCATAAAGTACTTATTGCACATTTGCAATCCCTCACTTACAGAGATTTGTGGGTCTTTTTCACAAAACTGTCATTCTCCAGGATCTCTTTCATGTTTTCTGGCCGTTTTGTGGCAATTTTTAGATTGAGAAAAAGTCAGCCATTACATTTTAAATATGGAAGAAACAGGGTGAAAGCTTATGTACCGTTGTAATTCTTTTCCACTGTAGGTAGACCACAGAGCCTCCATGTGGTTGAATAATGGAATATAGAGAGACAGAAAAGAGAAAAAAGCATGCATAGATCACTCCCTTCCTTCTGCAAAGAAAACAGAAGAAGGCATTTATGCAGAGAAACCTTAGTTCTCTTGAGTACTGAACTTCTATGTTAGGAAAATCTCTTTATTCAAAATATGAAAGAATGTGTGTTCAGTATAATTTACACTTGTACATTTCAAGACAAAATTACCACTCGTTGACTTATAATGGTGAAGTTGTTCAACAGAGTTTTTCCCACTAATACAGGCAGCAAGTTCAGCAACAGTTGATCTGGACAAATGGCTTGCATGCCCCTCTCAATGGTCTATCAAGGTCTAGAATAAATCCAAAGGGGGGAAGTAATTGTTTTCCATTATCTTTCAGGTGCTGTTTAAAAATATGCCATCCATGTATCATTATACTAGGAGAACAGCAGATGCTGTCTCAAGACTGACCATAGAATGTAGTTTCTCCTGAAATACCTGAAATTGTTAAGGGTGCACTCCCATGCAAGTGTAGACAGAAAGAAGACTAGGAAGTTGTAGGCCTTTTTTCTGTCTAAACGTGTGAAGGATTGCACCTTTAACTTTCAAATGCAGACCAGTTTGTACAGCATAGAATCTAACAAAGAAGTTAATTGCAGACTCTTCGAAGAAATTGCTGTACTTGTGGCCAGTGATATTTCACTAACCGTCTTCTCCCATTTGCTAGGATCCTATTATTGGTCTTCATCCATCCTATATATACCACATACACTTTTTAAGGCATAATACTAATGAAAGCATGAATAGAAGGCCAAGCACGGAAAACAAATTCATCAACCCACCCCCCTAGTTTTGCCAGTTTGCAAAATGTGCAAACAAAAAATTTAAAAATAGTTTTTTTCTCTATAGTACAAAGGCACTATAGGCAGCTGTTAAATGTCAACCTGTGAGAAATGCAGGTTGTGCATTTGAGAAGCTGTGATATTATGGAATCTTCAGCTTTGTACTTACTCTCAAAAGTAACACAATTGGCCCAAAAACATGAAAGCTGAAGGTACCCTTCAGCACTGCTGGGAATTGATGCAGAAGGACAAGAGAGATGAACTTTGTTCTCTCTTTCTTCGTATGTGTTATGTCATTTCCTAGTGGTTAGCAGTCTTGGCCGGGAAGCCAAACTAAATTCAGAAGTGTATATAACTGAATCTCAATATGTCTGTGTGCTATTGGACAGAAAACATACAGAAAAGGAAAGGCTGAGTGCAGTCCTAGGTGTTGTACCCTCATTAGCAGAAGCTTCTAAACCTGGAGGCTCCTGTGAATCCAAGTCCTGCTGAACTGCTGATAACAGGTGGGAGGAGGATGGAGGCAACTTAAGCCTCTCCATGTTGTTGTTTTTCTCTACACAGGCCTCTAGAAAGGGCACATTGTCAGTGGTGGGAGAGGCAATAGGTATCATTTTAATGTGGCCTTTCTCCTCCCTTCCCATTGGAACACCCCAGCATTTTCTGAGCCTGTATTTACAACCTTGGAAAGCAGTCTGTACAGTTCTGCAGGGGGTGTGGGGAGGGAGAAAATTCAGGAGTACCCCTTCTTAAGTTGTAACAGTGTCTATGGCCTTAAAGCACTGATTGTGAGGAACCCCATGGCCTCTCTCCCAGGATCATAGAATCATAAGATTGCTCTCCCGTACCTCCATTTAAAATACACTTATTTATGAACTGTTAATGGTTTCCACAAGATCTACATTTACTATCCAAGACAGGCACCATAACTATCAAATTGGGGATTGGAGTCGTCTGTAAACAGAGATT